TCATCACAACATACTAAATAAACATATAATAAAATATCACTTAGGCTGTTACATACTATATATACGAGTATACATGTTAGAATGTTTTAATTTGTTGTGATGTGTGTGTTTAACTCACTTATATGTTATAGTTTCAGATACTTTACTATTTAAAACAGTGTGAGAACTAAAAACTTAAAAATAGTTGACGATTACTTGGTGTTTAACTAGGTGAGATGTGTTAGTCTGCTTAAATTGAAAAAGTTTGTTTTTTATCTTAAAGTGTATCAATTTTTTTTTACTTCAAAGCGTTTCAGTTCTATAACTTTTTATTTTAGTTTAGGACTAGACGTTTGTAGAGTTTGTGTTAAAACCATCGATATTTTATTGAATGTTTTTCACACAAAAAAGAACATTGTCAGATGTACAAAGATTTAATTAAATTTATGCAAATGAGCAACTTCATCCATTGCATAAATACATACTTTAAAATGTATGTATACACCTATCGTTTTTTAATATTAAAAAGCTAAAAGAAGGAAAAGAAATTGCATTCACATTATATTGTTAAACTTTAAATAAAATTATTCTAAATCTGCTTTAATTACTTCTCATTTGTTAATTAAACATGATAATCAGGGGAAGTGTAATGATTGCTGATTAGTTGAAGAGAAAATATCGTTTTGAAAATATAAGAGACATCAAATTACCGTATTAATTAGTCTCTCTACTAAAGTTGTATACATCGAGGTAACTATGCATTGATCCGTTTGTGTATTATTACAGTAGTTCCCCTTGATTATATTCAGTAGTTCACTCTCGGTGTTGATCAAAACTCGTTGATCCTCGCTTCAGATGTGAGAAGTCACGAGTTCAAATCCAGAGACTTTTTATTAAATGCATGTTTCAAATTTCAAAATAATGATTGATTAATAGTCTGTAAAGAGTCATGCTAGTCTTCTCACATTAAAAACAAATTTTTATAACCATCGATGAACAGGTTCAACACTGAAATTACTTTAGAAAATTTGTATTATAAATAAAGAGTCATTTTAAAAAGTAAAAGTTTTGTATTTTGATTAGAAATAACTTTTTTTTAAATTTTTTGATAAAAACTATAAGTACGAAAAAACGTGTTACATTTGTGAAATTAATTCGTACAATAATAATAAATGCAATGAACAATGATTTACAAAATTATTTTACTACAACTGGGGTATTGGTTTTATATTAGTTTGAAATAATAGTTTAAAGTGGCTTCCCATATGTTGATACAATTATTAAGATGGGAAGTAACTAATAAAAATATTCAACTCAATCAAATTACAACATTGCTGTTGTACAACGCTCGCTAATACTATACTTATATGCTGTACATTCTAATATTATAACAACATGACTATAGGAAAGCAAAGTGTAAAATAATACTAATGTTAAGTGTACAACGTCGTGGTCACATTTATTTCGGCATTCGAAAAAAATGTTTAATTTCTTTTTAATACTGCATTGATACAGAAGTAGTCAAACATAACTTGTATATATGTAGTGACAAGATCAAGTTACCAGAGTTAAGTATCAGAAATCACTGGAGCAGACGGGTGAACTGCTTTTTGATGAATTTGCACTAGAAAATCGAGAATGATTGAACACATTCCTATTATTCTAAATCTGATTCACAAAATTTGATTTTTGTTATTTGAACCCTCGACCACTCACACCCGATATAAGAAATAAACGCCTTGACAAATACATTGCATGTATATCGACACGAATGGTACACTATTGTAGGGCATGTCCTATTTCAAATGGTGATTAAAACAAAATTAATGACGATTATTTCAACTTGTTCAGAATGTGCAATGTCAATTTGCAAATGTTAAAAGTATGTTTATAAAAGCCGTCTTAATTTTTAAAATAGTGCATTACTCACGTAAATAAACGATTACAATATTTAAATTAAACTAAAATCCCGTTATAATTTAAATTACACTGTTTCCGAAATTCAATTAGTTTAAAAAATGACAACGGCTTATATTTACTAGATGCCATGCAAAACATCATAAATGCACGGTGCATCTTTAGTCATTTATTTTTGTAATATTGAGAGTGTTATAAACTAAGCTATTTTTAGTAAAATTTGCTTTGTAAATTCATACTGCACATTTAAAAAGCAATGGATAATTAAAACTACCTCTTTAAATGGTGTTTGTTAGTTAAATACGTTGTTTCAGGAATAAAGTGTTATACATTTGTGCATAACCGTGCATCGAAAACCTTCATATTACAGGAGAGAGGATGCGAGGAAGGCATTGACGAATTTGGATGGAGGACTTCAAGGAATTGACTCGACTGGCGATTTCAAAAAATTTAAAAGCATCAAAAATCAAAATAGATCACAGGACAAAATATGAAAATAATTTCATTTGATCCCCACACACACACACACACACTTACACACACCACCAAACATTGATGGTGTTACGGGATGATTGGTTGATTAAACTTGAAAGTTCATGACACTAGAGTCAGAATAGGGCTAGTAGTAGGTCCTTAACTTCTCGTTCTCGTACTTACCAGCTAGTATTTTTCAAACAAACTATGAATATATTTATTAAATTGGTAAAATAAAACACAAATATTTAGTTTAATTTCGATATTGTTGATTTATTTAAAACCGTAAACAATAATGATGGTAGACTACACGATGTAGGTTAACTTAAATAAAAATAAATCTTCCTTTAAAAAAAGTTATTTTTTTAAAGTAGCGTACATTTTATTATGAATTGGAACAAAGTATCTTAAGCGTAGAATAATGTTATTGATATGTTAGGCCTACCTAACCTAATCTTGATATTTTAAATTCGTGAAGCCAAGCCTAAAAACAAAAAGCCGCCATGTTTTTGTATCAATATGAATCATGTTCACAAGAATTAAATTTAGTTTGAAATTAATATGTATTCTTGGCTAACGTCTTTATGAATTTTAAGCGAGAGAGACAGAGCCTTACAACTCATTTACGACTAATTAAGCTCCATATATTCTAGACCTATGCTAGATTATACACTTTGATCTGATGTAAAGGAAATCTAACTATTTTAGATCAATTATTTTTTTTGTTTTGCAATTATAACAATTAACATCAAACATATATGTGGTATCATATTTACATAGTAGAATATTCAATACATAATTGATTTGCATTGATGTCATCACAGCATTGTACATTAGTAAATACAAGAAGAAAAGGAAAAACAACAGAAAATCGAAAAAGCAAAACTATCAACTTGGATACTTTGCGCAGAAAGTAACTAAAACCTTTGTTAGGATAACGCAACTAGATCTAGTCTATATCTGTACATAATTTTCCAAAATATTTTCTTACGTGTGATATTTTTTTTATAATACTTTTATTTGCATTTAAACCAGGAACATCGAATCAATTTTTTTTCGTAATTTCGAATATCAAATTAAAGCGAAATGTTTTGCAAATGTACATAATAAATGTTTATATGAAGTCATGTAAGTGTTTATAAAAAAAATTGAAAGGGATAACAGTAAAAGGGGTGAAGGTCAAAAGAAAGTGTCAGGACTCCGGGTGGGGAGTGAAAAGGAAATTGTTCGAAGAGGAGGGGGGGGGGGGTCAAAGTGACAGTGAAGCATTTTCTATGTAGGGAAACAAAATATGTTGACCCGTTGAAAGAGTGTTTATTTATATACTGGTCGCATTGAGTTTTCAAAGGTTGCTGTGTGAAAGATGAGGGGAAAGAAGCAAGATTTATAACTTTAAGTAAGTAAATGAATAGATATTCGAGATTGATGTTGGGGTGGGTGGTGGGGTCGTTGGAACAATTAAGGGGGATGTGGGGTTATCATGCCTGAGGGTGAAGTGGACAGAGGGGGAGGGGGTAGATGTGTCTGAAGAGGCGTGGAGAGGGTGACTGTGTGTTTAAGGCAAGCCAAGCGTCAAAGCCTGTGCTGTGTGATGTACCTGCTGAGGTGATACTATTTATAGTGTGTGTGAATCTATTATCCACTTAAAATCCCAAAAATAAGTCACACCAAACCTAGTTTGATATAAATTTGTCTTTTAGATAAATTTTATTTTACCTTTTAAAACTATAGGCTTTAATTTTTTTATTTAAGAAAAAATTCTATTTGTTTTAAAGTATACAACTTGTTTTACTATAAAATATCATTATATTTAGTTAATTCCATTAAAAATTATATTAATTACAATTTTGTGCACGTTTCTTTGAGTATAATCTATAAAATGTATATTTGTAAGGACTTTTAAGTATATTGTTGTGTAGTCTCCCCTGGTAATTTAAAATTTACAAATCGAAATCATTTTAAAAGTAAACATTTTTTTTTTAATTTTCAACTTTGGCGTCAACTCGCAGCATCTAGGTTGTTGGCTGGTACAAAAAATGGTATTTATGTATTTGAATGTCATCAATATATTTAAAATAAATTGATTAAAACATGTGGAAGAACAGCTATAGATATGTTTGAAAATGAAGAATGTTTGATTTAAAGTGTTTGATTATACTGAAAATATTCCGGCTTCTTATAATCTTTACAATGTTTTTTTTTTTTTTATCCCAAATTTCTTTCATCTACACTTAAAAGCCCAAACCCCCTCAAACCACCATGGCGATAAAAACAATCCATTGAATCACCATTTAATTACATAATTTGCATTTTCACGTTTAAAAACAAAATTGTAATTAGGCGTTTTGTATTATGTAAACCATCTAAAATGAAGGAGAGTCAGAAGGAAGTATTATGATTGTTAATCTGTATCAGTCCTCACAAGCCGATGATGAAAACTGTAATACTAAAGCGAACATGACATGGCAAACTGGCGATGTAAATTACTTGTCTGAGGCAAAAAAAAAATCATGTAGGGACATTTTCTGAAAATGTAACATTGAAAAAGAAAAACTACCCTTCTATCATTGAATCACCCTTTATTTACACTTTTGCGTTTGAATATAATATTAAGTGTAATATAAATAAATGTTGAGATTGCTAAACAATCTGTCACTGTTAAAACCATGTTAGAAGATTTGGGTATGGATGAGGATGAAGATGAACCTATTCCACTACCTAATGTTAATGCTGCTATATTAAAGAAGGTAATTCAATGGTGTACCTTCCATCGGGATGACCCTCCACCACCTGAAGATGATGAAAACAAAGAAAAAAGAACAGATGATGTTTGCTCCTGGAATACAGAATTTCTTAAAGTTGACCAGGGCACCTTGTTTGAGTTGATTTTGGCTGCCAACTACTTAGATATCAAAGGCTTGCTTGGTGTAATAAACTATTAGCACTAGAAAGTTTGTTGTATTTTAAATATTATTTTGTTATAATAATAATAAATGAAATGAACAAGGATTTACAAAATAGTTTTACTAAAACTGGGGTATCGGTTTTATATAATTTTGATATAATAGTTCAAAATTGTTTCACATATGTATTTAAAAATATTTAGATGGAAAGTAACTAATAAAAAAATATTTAACTCTATCCAGTTACAGCAGTGCCGTAGTACAACTCATGCTAATACTATACGTACATGCTGCTCATTCTAATATTATAGAAACATGGCTTTAGGAAAGCAAAGTGTGAAATTAACACTATAAGAAATATTCACAAGAACATGGTGGATCATTGATAGAAGATGTATTTGTTTCAAATTATTCATGTAAAACCTTAATTCGTAGTTGTTTTTTTTTAATTTATTTCATAACTTTAACTAATTACTGAAGTTTCTAATTGTTGATTTTACTCTTCAAATAGTGTAGGTGAGCTAATTTCATTTTAAAATAGCTACATTTTGTTGATCTTGTAGCGACTCAGTTTATGTTCAATAGCTTTTATTTTTCTTTTAGTACGAAAAGAGTGTGAATGTTGTGTTAAAATCATTAACATTTAATTGCATGTTAATATCAAAATATTAATAGTTTGTCCATAGTAAAAATCATTTACAAAATGTTGACCATCCCATATTAATTAAGTATTTGTCTTATTAAAATGATAGTCTGCCTGATAAGATAGATAATGTAGTGAGTACGCGTTTTGCGTGTGTAAAAAAAAATATGTGACTAGTCACTAGGAGTTAGATATAGTGGTAAGTCGTCGGGGTACTTGCACGTAATTTAAAACATATGTGACTTTGACTATAGGGTTAAAAATAATAATTATTATATTTATATTTATAATAACCCACTGTCCCTTTAATTTGGTCAAACATATTACAGTATGGTCACAATATTTCCTGTTTATTAAACAACACCGATCATAAAAGAATAATACCATTTCATCATTCACATGTGCTCTGAAAATACAAACTCATGATTAGGTCACTACCTCTGTGTATGTCTGTAAGCCGTGTCTAAACTTTATAATTATCCTGTAGTCCCGAGGATAAATAAAACATTACTTCATACAGGCTATACACTGAGGTAAGAACGTACCGTTAATCTAACACAAACCGTTAAGTTAGCCAACTTTGTCCCTGGTTTAACTCTAATATAAATAGTAAAACACGAATCCTAACATTTAACCTTCTCTCATTATCATTATTACTGACCCTTTAACTCTAACGATGAATTATGAAACGACAAGGCGATTTAACCAAAACCAACTCTAATCCCAGATTTAACTTAACAACAACGCTGTTCTTCCCCACTCAGGATCTAAACGGAGATTAATCGCATTAGTAATTATTCCACGGACCTCTACATTTCCTATTTGATCTCTGCATGAGATCTCTTAGTCATCTTTCAAGCACGGATACAATAAATATCTTAATTTACATGATATATACACTATATAAAGACATTCCTGAAGAAATACACACGTTCATACACTATTAAATATATTCAGCTAAACTGTGTTTTACTCTTTATATTTTGCATTTGGTTTTACCCCCACCCTTGCTGATAGCTTTAAAGTGTTCACAGTTAATAGTGACGATGTGTATCTATTGTCGGTTATTAATACAGCTGGATCTAGCATTGCTTTTCTTTTCTATATTTAGCAGGCGCCATCCCCCTCCTTCTTGTAGGAATTATTAATTTATATTTAAAATAGTTTTTTTTAAAATCTAATTAACCATTAATTTAACTAAACATAATTCTTTTTACTCTTATATTTTGCAATTATTTATCTTAGTGTCATAATCCCCCCCCCCCGTTATCTGTCACCCGGTGCGATACACAGTGGGGATAAACTCACATAAGCTCCCACTTCACGGTGGGCATAAGCTCCTCCTTCAGGGCGGGAATAAGCTCCAACTTCTCAAACAATGCCCCTAACATCTCACGTCACTGAAAGCTTCTGACGACCAGATCCACCTCCTGACCTTCACATCAATAGAGTCAGCTGGCTAGTTTTTGTAACCGAAAAACAGCCTTGACATTTTTTTTTTTTCATAAAAAAAAAAAATTATTGGTGAAATTCTATTGAATTTAGCATTTATTTTAATGGAATTTCGTCACACCAATTTTTTAAATAAAAAAAATATATTTCTATAGTGATGTATATTTCAAAAACTAGCCAGCTGACTCTATTAGTGTTAGTACAAGAACGTTCAATGGTTATATAGCCGATATATATGTTAGTTTATGAAATTTCAGAACTCCAGAAAAGAATGTTTTTTTTTCAAGATGGCCGCCATGGCCAAGGCAACCATAATTTTAAAATGCATGGAAATATTTTACTTTAAGTACCCTAACTTATACATACACAAATGAATCAATAAAAGGTTTTAATTAAGAAGTTTTTTTTTTCTGGAGCCTACCCTCTTAATCGAAATGTCCCGAGGTGGAACCCCAAAGTAGATGAGTCTCGATAGCTGGAGACAGCAACCCATCTAGGACGGAAAACTTCAACATCAAAAAGCTACGGCTTTGTAGTTTGTTCTTGAATGGACACATTTTCTGAGAGGAAATACAGAAATAAAAGTTGTAGAAAGGAAAGTTTTAGCGGCTGGACATAGTGCTGTAATCAACGATAGAGAAAGTAAAACCGCTAAACATAGTACTGTAACCAACGATAGAGAAAGTAAAAGCCGCTATATAGTTCTGTAACCAACGATAGAGAAAGTAAAAGCCGCTATACATAGTGCTGTGCTACATATACCGACGTCTCAGACTTAGGTTGACTCTACTTCATTCGCACATTCAGGTTCGAAAAAGGAACTTTACTGTCCCAATGCATCGCTTTAAGACATTTGTTGCGACACACACTATACATACTGCATGTATGTTCGTGTCTGTACGTGTGTTTGTGTCAAGCAATTAGTAGTATGGTTAGGCTGGCTTGTTTCGTGCGAGCAGGGGTCGGCAACCTTTTGAGACGGAAGAGCCAAAAGTTACAATCTTGAAAATGTCCCAGACTTTAAAGACCCACTAACACTTGTATGTGCACTTCGGTAGTGGAAAGCTTGGAACCATTGCCACGGGTCTGGCAACAGCATAGTTGTGGGGCTGGGCCTAATGCCTAATGTCCTAGGCTGTCAACTGTCCATGTACACTCTACTCTACCTATTCTCATTGTTTTTAATTTTGTTAAAACTTTTTGTTTTTACAGTATATTTGTTTTTAGTTTCTATAAGAAAAGAATATACTTATTATAGAAATCCGCATGTTGACATCAAAAGAACCGAATGCAACTCGCGAGCCGCAGGTTACGACTCTTGCGTGCGAGTAAATTCATTAAAACAAGAATTCATGTATAAATATTTGGAAGAACCCAGGATAAATGAGATGATATTGATCAAACATAGAGAATTCATTTTATTAAAGCAAAGTTATCTTAAATAATTACAAGTTTCGTAATTTAATTAGGAATATATTTTTTTCTATTAAAATCAATAAACTTTTAAAGACAGGCAAAAGTAGTACATAAAGTTTATTAATACTTATAGAAAAGAAAACAAAATCAACTATGATTTACATAATTATTATATTTCCACTGAGGCATCGGTATTTTTGTAAATTTGATAACATAATTTTACGTTGTTTCCTTTACTTGTTTAAACTATGATATGGGAGGTAACAAAAAGAAACCCAGATAATACAGATCCATCAAGTTGCAACAATGTTGTGTTGTAGAGAAGAATTAAAATGAATGTTTACGAGAAAAGGGCGGAGCATTGTAGGAAAGGTTAATTTATTTTACTACATTGAAGGTAGACATACTTTCCTAAAATAAAGAAGCTACATATTTGAAACTATGTGATTTTTCCAACTTGATAAAAAATAGTAATCATACTAATTAAATGTACAAAATGTAAACAATTTATTTACCTCAATAATTATGCAGAGGATATATTACAGTATGATCACAATATATTCAAGTCTATAAAACAACGCCAATAAAAACAGAAGATTAGCGTTTCATCTCTTATATTGTGCTGCAACAATCCTAACTTATAATTAGGTCCCTGCCTCTTTGCCTGTCCTTAAGTCTTGTCTTAACATTATAATTATCATATAGTCCCGAGGACATATAAAACATTCATCTATACAGGGCAGTGGCGTAGCCAGGATCGTCTCAAGGGGGGGGGGGGTTCCAATTTTTACCCGGGGACAAACTTTCGATTTGCACCCCCCCCCCCCCTCAAACTTTTGATTTGCACCCCCACCTCAAACTTTCGATTTGCACCCCCTTTATACTTTTTATATATACCGAGGGGTCTATGGGGGGGGGGGGGGGGTTATGACCCCCCCCTAACCCCCCCTGCCTACGCCACTGATACAGAGTATTCACTAAGCTAAGTACGTAACATAAATCAAACACTAACTACAAGGCAAACCAAACGTGTCTCTAGTTTAACCGTTTAACCCTAAAATCAAACGTAAAACACAAATCCTAGCATTTAGCATTCTCACATAAATATTATTACTGACTTTAACACCAAAGTTAAATAACACATGCAACCAAGCGCTAGAACCAAAACCAACACTAAGCCTAGATTTAACTTAACTCTTAACTCTGTTCTCTAGGCCTCTCTAACATAAGACTGCCTTAGTCTGCCTTTAACACATTACCGTATACATTACATCATGTTTTTGTAGAAACCTATAATGAACTATGTAAGAAATAGAAATATTTAATTTAAAACAATTCAAATTAACATCGAAATACCATAACATAATATTACTTGTCTTCCCCTTGTATTGTTTGTTTAAAATGCGATTGGCCGGGCTCAGAGACTGGGCCACATGTGTAGGTCAAGAGCTGGATCTGGTTGTCAGAAACTTTCAGTGACGTGGGGTGTTGGGGCATTTCTTGTGACGTTGGAGCTCGTCCCCTCAGT